TCACCTATTTTCATTTGTGCACAGAAGTGATATATAATAAACATCTATGGTTTTTAATGTCTAACAGAGCTCTGTATAAATATATGAAATGTATGTCTATTTGGTAAGAATGCATTTTTGATACTTTGTTTTCTTACTGATATAACTGTGTATTTTACAGTCAATGACATTTTAAATTCCATGAAATAACGTGGTTAACATAAGTCAACACCCTCCATTATTTTGGTGTACTGCTACCAAACAGTATATTTTGTGAGATGTGGTCACATTACAGTATTACCTATATTATGTTTCTTAATATATCTTAGCTTACTACAATTTTATAATAGAATATCCTCTAAGGCTGTGATTTTTTTAAGAAAAATGATTTGCTTTACACAGAGGCCTTTGAAATAAAACCCAAATTAGGGACTCTCTATATCAGAGGTTTACATTGAGTAGGATGAGTTTTTAAAACTACCTATGGTCAAGTTCCTATTTACTGCACAAAAAACTACCGAACTCTTTCCAAATACAAATACATTCCTACTCTTCATTTAAGCTCTGTCTATGTTGGGAGGAGTTTTGTTTCCCATTTTGTAATTCCTTAATGATGTAAATGAGCTAATGATGCTTAACTTTAAATATCTGGAAAGCAGTAGGAAACAACATGAAAACTCAAAACTAAGAAAAGAGACAGACTGGACTCTGGTGTTCTGGCTTCTCTGGTATCTCTAACTTATTACACTTTGTTAAGCCTCTCAGCTCCCAACAGGTCAGGAACGTGAGATACTGACTAGCTTGAAAACTATTCACTGTGCATGAGTACTTCTTATATTTCTAATTTGGATAGTAAAAATCTCAGAATCCTGATTTTAGATCTCATGAAAGAATTCTACATCACCACTTTAAATTACCCAGACTGAAGACATAAGGGGCTTGGCATAAAGAAATAAAATATATGAGAAGAGACTAAGGATATTGTAATTGATCCTGAACAAAAGGATCAAATTAACCTGCAGGTGATAAGGAAGGGTTTCAAAACTTCCAGAACCTTTTCATTAATTCTGCTTTAGGATTAGAACAAGTATGATGACCCACAACTGTGTTCCACCCCCACTTCCACTAACCTGGTTTAGCTGCTGCCAGAATCCAGAGTGTTCTCGAAAACCACTCACTCAGCAGCTGCCTTGGCTAGTCCCGACTGGCAATCTCGAGCCACTGCGGCTACCTAGGAGTGCCAACAGCGCCCAAGCAGTTGCCCTTCTTCTTGCTGCTTAACTTAAGAAAGAACAGTCCTGGGAGGGATAAGGATCTCATCCAGGAGGGATGGGGGAAGAGGACGTGTAGAACATGAGATAAACCCTTCACTCTCCTTTTTCTATCATCTTCGACTTCTGGGGTAACTTGGGGGCAACCAGGTCAATAATTGAGACACACAATCACCTTGGACCCAGACTAGCGGTAGCTGGGGTATAATAACCAGGGGAAACGGGAATAAGGGAACAAGGGCTTTAGACGTGGAAAGTGCAGACAGACAACAATGCACACAAGTTAACAAGAGAAAGCGGGGGTCGAGGACGATGCAAGAAGTCATCAACGCCGCGCCGCCTCCCCCACTTTACAACAAATCTCTGAGGTACCGTACCCTCAGAGACCCGGCCTCCACAAAAAGAACGACCTTCCCCTCAGCTGGAGAACAAGGCCGTACTTCTGCTCCCCAGACAAGTGGAAGCGGGAGGGGAAGGCCGACCCCGACGAGTGCCCCTTCAGGGGTTCCACCTGGACTTGATCTCAGATGGGGGGGGGGAGTCGCGGAGGGCGGGGCATCGCCTCAATTGCTGAGAGGCTGCAGCCTGGCAGGGACGGGCTTCCCTGAACAACGGAGCTGAAGCTCGTCCCCCCTCAGTACCCTGCCACCCGGTTACCTCTTCGCTTCTTCGTCGTCTAGCAGCTCTGGCTCGGTCGCCGCCATTACCACATCGCACTCCGCGGCAGCCGCCATCTTACCGCCGGGACCAGAGAGCCAGGTGGGAGGCAGGCGGTGAAGAGCACTTCCGGTTGGAGCATCGAGCAGTTCAGCGGCGCCGCGCCCAGAGGGGCTTCCTCGGGCCTGTCTACCAGCGAGAGGCTCCGCTTGGGGCCAGAGCGGCCTCCCGCCCCCGGAGGTCCACGGCGGTCTCCGCGCCGGAGCGGAGGCCCAGGGACGGTTTCTGTGCGTAGGGGGCGCCACCTTACCCGTGGGTAGGAAAGGGGGATTACAACAGGGTGTAGCCTCTCTAGGGCTTGGCTTTTTTCAGTATTCCAAAAGCCTTGTTGCCATAGCAATTTCCAATCCTAGAGAGTCCGCTGTAAAGCTCAGGGGATTCTGGGTTAAGTAGGGACTAGGTGACCAAAAACTCTGGAGGGAAAGAGTCCCCACTGCTCCCTTCCCAACCTTGGAGCTTGTCCACAGCTTCCTCCCGGGAACGGCAAGAAGAGACTTTGAGCCCAGTTCCCCTAGCTTTCATCGTTCCCTGGAAGCCCTGCCCAGCCAAGCTAGGGGAACGCAGGGCGTCTTCTCCCGGCGCCTTTCATCCCCCCGGATCTCCAAGCACCAACTGGTTCATCACCCTAATGACGCTGACCCTTTTATGAGGCTGCTTTCATGTCAGCCGCCTGGGAGTGCCATCTCAGCATTAAGCCTAAGGAGGCTGGCATGACATGACGCCCCAGATCGTGCCCTGGAGTTTATAAGGAAGCTCACGGGGTGAGGTCCCTGCTCTTCATTGTCCCCCGTACTCCACCTATCCTATAAATTCCCTGCCCAGCACGCTTGTCTTGCAGAATGCAGTCGGGATTAGGAACTCAGGGGGCGAGGATTCAGTTCAATCATCTTTGTTGTTCTTTCCTCACCCAAACTAGTATTTATGGAGTTGGATTAAATTGGGATTTTCTGAGGTTAAGTTGCGGAAGTTTGCAGTTATAATTTAACGCCAATGAGAACTAAAATAAGGGGGCAAGGGAATTTAAAAAGGATCTACCTGCTTCCTCCAGTTAAACAGTATTTGCCAATGTCCCTACCGTTTGCATGGCTCCGGTTTATCAGTGTTGAGGGAGCTGAAACCACCTGGACCACTGACTAGGGAAGGATAGGAGAAGCTCACTAGGTTGGAGTGGGTGGGTGGGTGGGTGGGGTCATTCGTCCAGCCAATCATTCAATGGCCCTTTCCAAAACGCCTGCTCTGCTAGGTTGGGAGAACACAAGAATCCCAGACCACCTGCTCGCCTGCCAATGGCTCACAGTATACAGTCTAAATCTAGCAGACCTGTCTTTGACCATCTTCCCACTTTGTGTTCTCTATCTCTACGCCAACTCATTTTGCTCCTACAGCTTTAATTTTATCTGTTGATGACTTTCAACTCTTGATATCTCCAACCGAGACCTTTCTTCCAAGTTCTAGACCAGTATTTTCAACTATCTACTAGCTATCTTTTGGATGTTTCATAAACCCCCAAGGCTTAACATATTTAAATTAAATTTTTCTTTCTCTCCCCTCCCCTCAACAACCGAAAAAAATTTGCTACATATCCTTGATTCACTTTCCTGAATTCCTTATCTTGTTGAATGTATTCAACCATGTATCAAATGAGAAAGATGAAAGATAGGAACTCCTCTTTCTCACTCTTGACTTCCAATTCATCAACAAGTTTTGTTGATTTGCCAACCAAATTATCTTTCAAATGTATCTCCTCCTTTCCATCCCAATTCAGGCTCTCATCATTTTTTTTTTAACTTGGAATACACGGGGCGCAGTGGTGCATGCCTGTAGTCCCAGCTACTTGGGAGGCTGAGATGGGAGGATCACTTGAGCCCAGGAGTTGAAATCCAGCCTGGGCAACATAGTAAGACCCTAATTTCTTAAAAAATAAAACACGACTGGGCACGATGGCTCATGCCTGTAAGCAAAGCACTTTGGCAGGCAGGAGGATTGCTTGAGGCAAGGAGCTCAAAACCAGCCTGAGCAAGAGTGAGACCCTGCCTCTACTAAAAATAGAAAAATCTGTCAGCTGGTGGCATGCACTTGTAGTCCCAGCTACTCGGGAGGCTGAGGCAGGATTGCTTGAGCCCAAAAGTTTGGGGTTGCAGTGAGCTAATATGATGCCGCTGCACTCTAGCCCAGGTGACAGAGCAAGACCCGGTCTCAAAAAAAGAAAAAAAAAATGCAACAAAACTTGAAATCCTACAATTATCTCCTAATTGGCCTAGTCTCACCTCTGTCCAATCTTCCCTCTTCTGCCAGAGTGACCTTCTCACAGGCAAAACTGATCATGTCGCTTCATTGGCAGTGGCTTTTCATTGCCATCAGTTCGACCTTTTTGGCCTAACACTTTCATTATTTGGCTCCTTTCTACCACCAATATTGAACCCAAGTACTCGTAGTTCCAGAAAATGTCATGACTCTTGCATCTTTCCTCCATCCTAGAACACACTTTCCCTTCAATCCCTTCAAACCTCAACACAGACGTGACCACCCCCGGAAATTTCTCCTTAATGCCCGCTGTCCAAAAGTTAAATGCCCCTTTGCTGTGCCCCCATAAGCAACTCTGTAATATTACTCACCATGGTGTACTGTAACTGTTGGGTTATCATCTAGCTCCTCCCGTCGGTGAAGTTCTGATGGGCAGCCACGGTGTCTAACTTGTGGGGTTTTTCTCAGCATGGGGCCCTGCACCTGGTACAGGGTAGGTGCTCAGAAAGCATTTGATGAGTAAATGAGTAAACGAAACGTTATAGCACTACAATAGTCTTCAGAGAGTGAACATTTGGGCGTCTGAGACACCAGAAGAGCAACCCACGTCCACGGAGCCTAGAACTTGATGCTCCCGTGCACAACAGGCCGGGTCCTGGCCGTCATTCCCCCTCCGGCCTCCGGGAGCGCTGTGCGGCGACGCCGGTTCTCCGCCGCCGGAATTCGTCCTGCCGGACGGAAGCTGGGAGGCGGGCACGCGGCGGGGGCGGGGCCCGACGGAGCCAGCTGACCCGGGAGTTAGAGGGGTGCGCTTGCGGCCGCGCTGCCCCGCCCCTGGTCCCCGCGCGCTGCAAGGGGCCCGGCTGGCGCTGCGGGGCCCCGGGAGGTGCGGAGCTGGGAGGCGAGGCTCGTCCAGCGCCGGAGTCAGCCTCCGCTTCTAAAGGTGGCGAGTCTCTGCCTCTTACTCCCTCTGACTCCTGGTAGCCTCTCTTGGGGTATCCCTTAACTGCGGGGCTCACTATATGAAGAGGGGGCCTGTGTCAGGAGCTTCCTATGGAGAGGTTTCTGTCTGGGACCCTCTTGGGAAGTGGTCTCTATCTCTGCTTTTTGGGGGGGAATCTTTTTCCGGTGTTTTTGGGGTGCTTGTGTTTGAAAGTTTGCCTTTGGGGAGATTTCTGGGGCCTCTTCAGAAATCGGGTTTCTGTGTCTGGAATTTCTTTTCTGTGTCTTTCAGTCCAAGGGCAGCAAAAACTGTCTCCTTTCCTAAGCCTTTTTTGTTTAGATTCTTTCACTCTTTTCTCTCTTCTCTGATGTTCTTCATCTTAGCCATGGACTTGACTGGGGGTTAGAGGGAGTTGATTGATTGTCCACGTAAGTCATAGAGAAAAGCAAATTATCCTTTCTATTTGCTCCCTCTCCCCAGATGAGGTGGCTTAAGACAGCCACACAAAATACTATTCCGGCTTCTTTCTCGATGGGGTCATGGTTGAAGAGAAGAACTCGGGCTGAGCTTCCTTAACTAATTGGTCCTCTCCACATCTTGTGTGCAGAAAGGAACCTGGCTAGTGTTTTCTTTAAACCAGTGACTCTCCTCTCCATTTATAGTAACATTAACTGAGCACCTATATTGTGCAGATACTGGCTATATACTGAGAATAACAAAGATGAATAAAATACAGCTCCCTGTCCAGAAATGGACAGATCAGTTCAGTACCCTCTGCTGGATTAGGAAGTACTAAATCTCTGAGGCTACACAGTGCAGAACCTGGGTTCTCAGTTACTGGAGATCTGCCTTCTGTTTTGATCCTCTCTTCCCTCACCTCACTCAGTGTGCTTCTGTTCCCCAAGGTTGAAGGCCAAGCATGGGGAAGAGCTGCAAGGTGGTCGTGTGTGGCCAGGCATCTGTGGGCAAAACTTCAATCCTGGAGCAGCTTCTGTATGGGAACCATGTAGTGGGTGAGTGTTGGTGGTGGTAAGGGAGTGGTGGAAGAAACTGAAGAATAAAGAGTAGAATTGGGTTTTTTTTTTGGCGGGGGGGGGGGGGGGGGGGGAAGGTCTTGCTCTGTTGCCCGGGCTAGAGTGCCATGGTATCAGTCTAGCTCACAGCAACCTCAAACTCCTGGACTCAGGTGATCCTCCTGCCTCAGCCTCCTGAGTAGCTGGGACTACAGGCATGCACTACCATGCCCAGCTAATTTTTCTATTTTTAGTAGAGACGGGGTCTCGCTCAGGCTAGTCTCTAACTCCTGACCTCAAGCGATCCTCCTGCCTCGGCCTCCCAGAGTGCTAGGGTTATAGGCACGAGCCACCGCACCTGGCCCAGGGAGTAGGATTTGATCACAATATGCAAAGACTAAGAGCTGCTCCTGGTGGTTTTTGCACCCTGAAGAGTAAAACATCGTAAACTCCAACCCTACAACTTACATAAATCTCAGGGAGGAAACCCAATATCCAAGATAGGGAGGACAAGCTCCTGTGTTGCACTTTGTTTAGCATGGTATTAGTGTGAAATTAATGTCTGTTTCTCCAAATCATTTTGGTCCTGGCCAGACTCAATACTCTGGCCTCTACTCCTCAGCCCTCACATTACTTTCTCTCTCTATCTGGTGAGCTTGTTCGGATGTCCTCTTCACTCACATTTCCTATTTCTCTCCCCACTTCAAACAGTCTTCTCATTTTATCCCAGGTTCTGAGATGATTGAGACACAGGAGGACATCTATGTGGGCTCCATTGAGACGGACCGGGGGGTGCGGGAGCAGGTGCGTTTCTACGACACCCGGGGGCTCCGAGATGGGGCTGAACTGCCCCGGCACTGCTTCTCCTGCACTGATGGCTACGTCCTGGTCTACAGCACAGACAGCCGAGAGTCCTTTCAGCGTGTAGAGCTGCTCAAGAAGGAGATTGACAAATCGAAGGACAAGAAGGAGGTGTGTGTCCTAGGTTCCTTGGGAGTTTTAGTGGTGAGAGAGTGGTGAGGGCCCTGGGCTGGCTTTGTGGGGCGTGGCATGGCTCCATTCTTCACTTATTTGCCAGGCGGTGGGTTAGGGGCTAAAGATGGAGTAGAGGCCACTGAGGGTGTCTTCACCCCAGAGGTGGCCATGTGTTGAGGCTGCTCAACCAAAGAGGCTTCTCTTTAGTTTATGGGGTCCCTGACCTAACACATGAAGCCCCCCTAATCTTTCTTCTTTACAGTTCTGGGTTCTTAACTATGAAGGCTCATCTGTTCTCCAAAATCCTCCTCTAAGCTACAGGTATTCTGGGTGTGCTTCCTCACCAATTGTTTAGCCAGAACTAGTCACTGCTGGCAATGAGCATGTTTGGGTGACAATCAGGCTTGTGATGGAACTCCTTGGGGGAGGGCCAGATGGAGGCCAAAATTTGAACAGAGGAAGAAGAAAAAACAATTATTTCCTTCCCCTCTATCAATGGTTTCTAATATAGAAAGAAATGAGGCATCAGTGCCATTGAGACTTTTCTCTCACAGAATTCCTAGGTGGCTACCAGCCCCTATACCTGTTCCTGGGTCCATGCTATATCCACAGGCCTTTACTCTGTCCCTCTTCCCCAGGTCACCATTGTGGTCCTTGGCAACAAGTGTGATCTCCAGGAGCAGCGGCGTGTAGATCCAGATGTGGCTCAGCATTGGGCCAAGTCGGAGAAGGTGAAGCTGTGGGAGGTGTCGGTGGCTGACCGCCGCTCCCTCCTGGAGCCCTTTGTTTACCTGGCCAGCAAGATGACCCAGCCCCAGAGCAAGTCGGCCTTCCCCCTCAGCCGGAAGAACAAGGGCAGCGGCTCCTTGGATGGCTGAAGAGCTGCCATTCCTTCTTTACTCTCCCAGCCCCATTCTAGCTTCTGGGGCTCTGGAAAATGGGCTGAGGGCAAAGGGGGGGGGCAGGCAAGCTGTCCCTCCCAGTCAGCAGGGGAGCTCCCCACTAGGCAGGCCCAGGCCACTTTTGCTCTCTCTCAACTCCAGGAAGTGCAAAGAATCTTAGTGCAAAGAATCCCCTCAAACTTCCAGCCTCTTCGCCACCCCCATCTGCAGCTTTCATCCTGTCTGCCCCGCTATTACCTGGGGCAGTTGTGGGTCAGTGTCCCTTCCATCTGCTCTGGATAGGAAGCAGAGCTACTGTGTGGAGGTGGCCATTCTAGGGTCTGGTTCCTATTATAGGGGTCCCACCTTCTGGGCTTCCTGCCAGTAAAACACACACACACACACACACACCCACCTTCTGGGCTTCCTGCCAGTAAAACACACACACACACACACACACCCCACCCCACATCCCCCCCCTTGAATTCTAGAGAAAGAGTGTCCAGGCACACCCACACACCTGGATTCTAGAGAAAGAGTGTCCAGGCGTTGTGTGTGTATGCTGGCATTAGGGGTGTTTCCTCGTCCCTCACCCTGACCTTTCTCCTGTCCTTTCCCTGGCTGGAAGAAGCTAGCCTCCTGGGAGTGTAATTTTCTGTTCTAAACACCCCTTCCACCCCCAATTGTTTCACTTCCTCTTCCTGCTCAGGGAGCAGATGGGCCTCATTGGTCAAGGTGGAGTGATGATGACCAGCTGACTTTGTGACCTAGCAAGACCTTCCCCTCTCGGCGCCTGCCCCTCTTGGTGCCAGATCTTGCTTAGCCAGATCTCTCAGATCCTCTCCAGCACTATGGTTTTATAAAGCTGTGGCCTCTCCCTCTTTAAGGTGCTAAGCCCACCAGCCCTAGAGGCTGGGACAACGCTCCCTCCAACCACCAGGGGGCGTGAGTGCTCTTTCCACTCGGTTGCCAGAGTGGCTGCTCAGTGCCCAACCTGCAGACCTCTCGCTGTGGGGCTGGTCTTCATCCCTTCCTGTGGTGGTTTTCAGCTCATGGCTGGACTTTTATTTAAAAGTGACCTGTATTTACCTGCCTGCTGCTGTGGTGAAGGCTGGCCAAGGTGCTCCTCCAAAGCCCTTCTTACCTCAGATGCCTGAACAGAACAAGGCAAACCAGTAGCAGCTGCTCAGGAGCTGGCAGGTCTTCTGTCGGGGCTCAGAGGGTGGCTACACGCTCAGACCGGCTGTACAGCCAGCTCATAACACAACTCCTGTGCCCACCTCGTGCTTCTAGTGCACACACCTAGCCTGGGCAAGACCCTGCAGCCAGGCAGCCTACAGTACTCGCCCCTTCTCCCCAGGACAGGAGAGGTGAGCAGAGCGGGTGCCCAGGGCTGGGCAAGTAGGATTAGGACATGTACAAGCTTGGGCTTCAAGTTAATTTATTGATGCTTTGGACACAATAAAACCACAACTGCTGTTATCAAAAAGTTTCCCTCCCCTCCCCCATTTTTCTTGTTCTCCCATTGGAAATATCTTTAAAAAAACAAGATACAAGGTGGATACTGGCAAAGTCCCATATTGTGGGGTAGGGGGTGGGATGGAGTTTGTGACATTGACTTTGACAGCATGAGGATGGGTCCTGCGAGTGGGTGTCAGACTGCATCCCAGCACTCTGCTTCACAGTGGGGCGCCGGTCCAGTTGAGAAGAGGGAAAGCTGAATTTAGTGCTGGGGACCAGGAGTGGGGAGTTGGAAGGGAAGCTCTAACTTTGGGACCCCCAGGGGGATTTGGTGTTAGCAGAGTCCATAGTCTGAGGGAGACCCAGTGACAATCCCCTCGAGAGCTGGGGTTCAGGAGGACTCAGTGAAAGGCTAAGAAGGGAGAGATTTTATGCGATCAGTCAGTCCCTCTGTTGAAATTGGGCCCAGTCAGAACATCACTGTCACCTGCTCCATTCTAGCTGCGTCCTGTTAGAACAGATGAGGTTCCTAAAAGCTTTCAGAGCCAGCCCTAACCCTACTTCCTTGGCTCTGTCCTGCCTTAGCGATGTTTGATCAAGAGACTCTTGGGGTCCCCGTTTCTTTTCCATTGTCCTCTGCCACACCCCCATGGTCACCTTGGCCTGATAGCCTTGAGCCCAACTCCAGCTCAAGACCCCATCTCCTATCTCCAGTGACGCCAGGGAATCCAGTGAGGCCCTGAGCCTGACTGTGTGGGTCATGGGCTTGTCCTGGGCTGGGAGAGGCTGGCTTGTGGAAGCCAAGATTCCTAGAGTCTGGCCATGTGGGTGTAGGTCTTGGGTCCACGAAAATGAGAACACCACATGGCTGGGGCTGGGCTTTTGCATAGATCTTTGGGATTTATCAGGCTGAGAAGTGCAGGGTAGCCTAGGACTAGCCCAGAAGGCCTGGGAAAGGAGGGCGGGGATGGTCCCTGGACTAGGAGGCTACTGGTTGAATTCCCCATCCAGACAGGGAAGGGCAGCTGCCCTTAAAACTAGCCCAGCCCTTCATAGGCAGGACCCCCTAAACTGGAAGGCAGTCCCTGTGGGATGCAGGAAATGGAAGCATCTTGGGGACAGGAGGAGATGGCACGGCGAGTGGCTGTTGGGAACTCAGCCCTGGCCTCCCCATGAGGGCTAATAGGGGGCAAAGACGATGGGTCCCGTGGCAGGGCGGACGGCTCCCGCTGGGGTGCGAAACAGAGCTGGGCCCAGGAGTGGAGCTGGAAATAGGGTGGTGGCTGCTGTGGGGGCAGGCCGGAGTGCCAGGGGCCCAGGCAGGGCACAGATGGCAGCAGCTGTGGTGGGCAGTGGGCTGGGTAGGAAGCGGGCTGCCAGCGTCTTGGTGAGTTGCTTCTGCAAGGCCAGTTTAGACTACACAGAAAAAAAAGGAACGGACAGTCTTTAACCCAGAAAATCCAGCCTCCTCCCTGGGCCCCATCCTCGGTGTTTTGCTGCAGGAAAAACGTGCCTTTTAGAGTTCCAAACCTAAATCCTCCTCCCTTTCCACCCCCAAACATTCATTCCAAAGGGCTTTCTCCACCACCTGTCTTCCTGCCCAGAGGGAGGAAAATCTCAGGGTGGGAGAAAGGAGGAGGGTGTGGGTGGGGTGGAGATGGTCTCTAGGAGATGCACGCCCACCCCTCACTCTGGACCCTAAGGTTCCTACCCAAGCCCGCCTCCCCGGAAATTCTGGGCAGATCCCTGGACAGCCAACAACCTAACCCCAGCTCCTTCCCTGCCTCTGAGCTGGGCAGCTTCCTTCCTGCCCCACCCCCAGCTGGCCCCCCCTGCCAGCCCACCCACTCCCCTCCCCACCGGTCCGCTCTGTTGCCTGGAGACAGATACCTTGAGGATACTCACGGCCAGGGCTGCGTGCTTCTGCAGCTTGCTGTGCTGGCTGGAGGGCTTGGGGGGCTTCCCCGCCAGGCGGTCTTTGTGCCTCCTGCTGCTCATGTGCTATTGAACACACAGATAGACTGGGGACAAGACCAGGAAGCCCAAGGACCCCAAGACTACTCTGTCGTCCTCAATGGTCTCGCCCTTCCTCTACCCACTACTCACGTTCAAAGCACTATTGCCTGGGGTAGGCCTTGTGAAGGGGAGGTAGGACTTGGCCTTCACCCGCAAGGAGCCCACAGCCAGCTGTCCTTGCTCCTGCCCCCCTCCCCAACCCTTCCTACTCTACTCTACCCGTCCTCTCTCTCCAGGCTCCCTCTTTTCCTGCCTTGCCCTGCCCGGGCCACCACCCCCAGCTCCAACGCCAATTCTGGCCCCACTTTTCCCACCTGCTTGAGCTGAGTCTCTGAATTGACCTGGAGCTGACAGAGAGCACAGTGGAAAGGGGGGCTGGGCCCCTGCCGGCCACCCCGGCCCCCTGTCACTCTCTTGGCCTTGTGTCCAGCCCCTCCCCGGGGCACCTGGTGGCCCCGGCCCCTGCGGGGAGCCCCTCGCTGACCTTCCACCATCCACCGGTGCTTGGCTCCTGCAGGGAGGGAAGAAAGCGTGTCAGCGCGGAGGCAGGGCTGCAAGGGCCCCTCAGCCTCATGGCTGCTCTGCACGTACGTTGTCCTCCAGCCACATCAGATTTCTCCTCCCAGCTTTTCTCTTTTCATGCCAACCTCCCCAAGGAAGGCCTTCTCGCAGTGCAAGCAGTCGGCTTCCCTTTTGCTCTAATTTCAATCCCTTCTGGTTCTGATCTAAGGAGAAAGGGAGGAAGTATCTCCTGTTTTCTCTGGAGGGACCTTTCAGAAATGTAGTGACCTTCAGTTCTTAGTGCCCCAGACTCTCCATCCCAATTCTCCCTCCCCAGGGATGGACGGGGGGGCCCAGCAATGCCTGCCCAATAACAGCTGCGTACAACACGTCTGCTACCCAGTTGCTGAGTGAAGCACCCAGGAGCGCAGGCCTGCCTGTCCCCCACCTCCCCCAGGCTCCAGCTCCTGGGGGCACTGACCTGTGTTGTGAGCCTGAAGTTGGGAGGCCGAGTTCACAGTCACCTTACACGTGGGGCAGTAGAGGCGCCCCTTCTCGCTCCTGCCTTCCCCACTCCCACTGCTTTCCACAGCCACTGCTGCCGGCTCAGGCCCTGGTGCCTCTCTCCCAGGCTCTGGGGAGCAAGGTGGGCAGGAGGAAGAAGAGGAAGAGGAGGCAGCATCCAAGAGGTCTGCATGGGCTGGCTCCCCAGGTGCGGGGTCTGGAGTCGGTGGTGGCTGGAGCGGAGGGCCGAGAGGAGGAGCTGCAGGAACTGCTGGGGGATGGAGGGCGTCAGTGGGAGAGTGTGAGGCCCGAGATGACCCTCTGGACCATGATTTCAAGGCCTGATGATGGAGGTGGCATGGTTGGGTGGAGGGGTGACCAGCACTGGATCCCAGGCCCCTACTCTCCCACTAACTCACTGGGCAGACTTGGGCCTCAGTTTTCCCAGCTGAAATTATAATGTCGGACAGAGTAGTCTCAGAAAGCCTTTGAAGCCCCGCTATTCTAGTTATTTGCTAACCATTAAATAAGCAGAAATCACTAAAAAGATGCACTAGAATGTTTATAGAGCACTATTCATAATAGCATAAAACTGGAAACTGTCCAAATGGCCATCAACGAAAGAATAACTTTTTTGAAAACAGTGGTATGGTCATGTCGTGGAGTACTAATAGCAATGAAAAATTACAAACTGCAGCTACATGCAGCAACATGAATGAATCTTACAAAGCACAATGTCAATGAACATGAGAGGAACAAGACCCACACACAAAACCCTACATATTCTGATTCATCAAAACCAAGTGAAACTGATGTATGCAGAGAAAAATCAGGATCTGTAGTTGGTCGAATAGTGTCTCCCCCTGCCAAAATTCATGTCCATCTGGAACCTCAGAATGTGACCTTATTTGGACACAGGGTCTTTGCAGATAAAATTAGTTAAGCTGAGGTCATGCTGGATTAGGGTGGGACTAATCCAGTGACTGGTGTCCCTATAAGGAGAGCATGTGGACACAGAGACACACACGGGAGAACGTGGTGGAAGATGGAGGCAGACATCATAGATGCATCTATAAGCCAGGGAACGCAGAGGACTGCTACGGCCACCAGAGGCTGGGAGACAGGCACGGAGCAGTTTCTCCCTCTGAGGCCCCAAGAAGGAGCCAACCCTGTCAACACCTTCATTTCAGACTTGTGAACTCCAGAACTGTGGGAAAAAACATTTCTGTTGTTTTCAGCCACCCAGTTTGTAGTCACTGTGATGGCAATGCTAGGAATCTAATACAGTCAGGCTTCTGGGTGCTGGGAACATGTTTCCTGATCAGGGTATATTCAGACTGGGAAAATTCATCGAGCTGTTGATGCACGTGTGTATGTATGGAATGCGCCAGCACAAGCAAAATTAATAAGCAGAAATCTCTCAACCCCTTTTCAGAAACCAGATTTCAGAGTGGAGTAGGGAGAGGCGGAGAAGAAGAGTTCAGGACTGACCTTTGTTCTGTGGCTCTCCGGGGGCTCCACTGGCCAGCGTCGGGATTGGGGTCACCACTGCCCCATCCTGGGCCAGGGTTTGTGGCCTCTGCTTGCTCTTGGCAGCTTCGACAGCCTTGAGTTTTCTGGCGTGTTTGTGGCCTTTGTAATGTGCTTCAGCCTGGTTCTGGGGAGGGGAGGGCATGAGGTCACCATTCATTCACTGAGTCCACATGCCCCATCCAAAGCAGGAGCTGAGCAGGGGGACAGGCCCAAGTGAGGCAGGACTTGGCTCTCACAAGGGGCAAATCTTTGTCATAGTCTTCATCATCACAGCATGTGTGTGGCCCCGAGGTTTACAGAATGTGTTCTTTTACTTGAGATCCAAAGCAAGCAGCCTCTGTCTTCAAATTCTAACTCAGCCACTTAGTAGCTGTGCATCTTTAGGCAAGTCACCTCACCTCTCTGAGCCTGAATTTCCCCACCCATAAACTTTGTGATAATACTGACCTGACAGGATTGTCAGAATTAAATGGGAATATGAATTATAAGGGCCTAGTATATATAATAGATGCTCGATGAATGTTAGTTACCAAGTTTATAAATGTACAAATGGAGAAAACAATAGTCTTCACACTTAGGGGTTTGTGCACCCCAAACATTCATCCCTTTGTTATTTTTAAACAGGTAGTTATTTTATTTATTTATTTATTTTTTAAACAGGTAGTTATTGAGCCTGCTATTTCCCAGGCACCATGCCAGGGGCCAGCATGAAGAAGACATGGCCTTGCCCTCAGTGCAGATTCTCTTTCTCTCGTGGGACTCATGTAAAGCCTGGAGAGAACCCCCAAATCTAGGCTGTCAATGCCATCCCTCTAAGGGTCCCCCATTGTTGCTTCCTGGCCCACCACTCCCCAATATAGGACAGACAGGCCCCCGTGGCCCTCCCTAGACCCTTCACTACAGCAGTCCTGCTGACGTCTAGCCTAAACCCCAGATTGCCTGGACAGGAGGTAAACCTTCCCTAGGTTTACCTTCAAAAGGCCAAAATGAGGCTCCTCCTCTAGCTAGGGGGAGACAATAATAAAAAGTATGCAGGCCTTAAGGTCAGCCAGTCCTGGGTTCAAATCCCTGCTTTGCTACTTACCAGCTGTGTGGCCTTAGGCAAGTCACTTAACCTCTCTGAGGCTCAGTTTCCCCATCTGAAAAGCAGGGATGATAATAGTGTCTCTGTCCATCTCACAGGTGTGTCATAAGAGCTATTAAATAATTCAGATGTTGGGCACGAACACATTCTGTAAACTCTCAGGTGCTTTAGGAACTCAGCTCCAGACCAGGAGCTAATGGGGTGGCCACTGGGACCCAGAGTGGGGGAAGGATCCAGGAGAGAGGCCTGCTTGCAGGAGGGGGGGAGGGGGGACTGGGGACGGGGATGGAGTCCCAGGGGGCTGGAGCTGAGCAGTGAAGGGTTGAGGGAAGGGGCAGAGGAATCTGGAAAGAGGAGGAGAGGAGAGGATGGGATGGAGAAGACAGACCACAGCTCCTTTGCCACCTGTATTCCTCCTGGGAAGACCCTGGGAGCCCAGTCTCCAGCCCTACCTCCCGCCCCTCCCCAGGCCTGCTTCTCCTACTCCCTCTCACCGCTGAGTTGAACCTCAGGTGACAGATGTTACAGGAAATGAAGAGCTTCTTCTTCAGAGGGGAGGGGACCCCAAACGTGTGGCTGATCACAGCTTTCTGCACTGGGTCCATCTGTCAAGAGGGTGGAACGGCACAATAACCCTGGGTTGGCTCAGGAGGTGGGGGCAGTACAAAATGCCCCAAAGTCAGGACTACTGGAGAGGGCTGAGGTCAGACTCTAGGAAGAACTTCCCCATCCTTGTGGATGTAAGACATAGTAAAAGGAACAGCCTCGTTCCTGGCTGACTTTATCTGTCAGCCCTGGCTTCTGTTTGGAGGCAGGGGGATGGCCCGAGTGACCTACAGGATTTTGGGAAATAGAACCATGTCCTGGTGATCACCCTGGCATTTCTTCCTGCCCCTCTGGTCAGTTTTTTTTTCTCTCTCCTTTGCAAGAATTACAACACTCAGACAGAGAGTTGGGCACAAGGAGAGGCAGGAAGGGGACAAAGAATCCTTCTATTGGAATTTCCTCCCCCACAACCCCGGCTTTTGGGCTGGACCTGTGGGCTGGGGGATGCCACTTCTTATCAGGTCTGCCACAGTCACAGGGCCTGAGGCTTCTGGCAAGCTCTCCTGAGAGAGTGGGGCCAGGCGGGCGAAATTGGGGGGCAAATCGGGGTCAGGCAGCAGAAAGTGAAGGTCTGAGGGTTCCCTGAGTAGTAGGATCATTTATTTGGAATATTATTAATAATTTGGTGTTTTTTCTTTTCCTTATTTTAAGTCATTTTTTTTCCCTATCAAACCAAGCCTTTATGCTCCCTTTTCTCAGGGGCTAGCTAGGCGGTTGGGCCAAAAGCAGTTTTCTGAACTTGTCAACTTTCCAAACCTTCCCAAGGAAGCAAACAGAGCTTTTAGAGAAGCGCATGGGTGCAGAAACTTCGCTGAGAAGAGAAAGAGGTTCCAACCCTCACAGTGCCCAAGGCCGGTGAGGTGACATAAAATTCATACCTCACTTGTCATTCACACACTTACACACGTGGAAATGCACGGACTAGTGCACAAGACAAACAGCACGTAAGCTCACAAGCAGTGATGAACGATACACACTCACATGCATACAAATGGCACATGACCACAGACAAACCACACAAAAACACATGTGCCCACAGGTCAGACATACACCAAACATATATATAAGACACAAAGACACAAAAAACCCTCAGATACATAGGCACACATATTAATCACATACAATTACCCAGGCACAGAGAGTTGTTTACAGACACACACACTGAATACCAACATACAAACTCATGTCCGCATATAACACACAAAGACCTATAGAGACACACCCTACAGCAGACAGGCACACCTCAATTGCACACAGACACACACAGGTCTTCCACAAAAGTCTCTATACAAAAACCCAAGTGGAACCTAGGGCCTACAGGCCCTGTGGGCCCAGTAGTTGTGATGGCAGGGGTAGGGAGAGGGGTGACACCATCTTATTCCCCAGCCTAGGAGAGGGCAGTGCCCAGGGTTCCTATTTGGGGAGCACCTAATCCTACTGGGGAACGTAGGAGGAGAATGAGCTCTTGATTAGACCCAGCAGCAGAGAGCTGGCCCCTCTGAGTCCACCTTCTGCCCACCCGCAAGCTTGGCTGCATGCCCCCACCCACCGGCCCGGCCCCGTACCGTGCTGAAGTTGGGGAAGAGACTGAGCGGGGCGGCGCCATTGAAGTGGAAGGCGAGCAAGTGCTTGAAGTCCAGCGGGGGCTGCAGAGGCCGGGCGGGCAGGGGCAGGGAGGCCAGCAGGGGGCTGGGGGCACTGGAGGCTGGGCCTGCTGCAGGAGGAAGAAGGGCAGGGTCTGAAACAGGGAGCAGCCACAGGGCCTCTCCTACCTCTGCAGCCACAACAAGAGGCTGGTGGGCTTCTCGGGTGTGGAGCCAGGGCAGACTCCTGTCCCTCTTCACAAAGTGTCACCAGCCAAACCCAGGGCAATTACAGGCCCCATTTCTGTGCCCCTCCTCCCCACAGTTGGGAAGCAGAGTCCACAGCTCCAGGCTCCCAGCCCAGAAGGACAACCCTCCCACCCCTACACAGAGAGCATAACAGCCCACCGAACCCCTAAGGGGAGTCCAGCCAGGAGAGGGGACAGAGGGCTCAGGGTGGGCCCCTGACATACACACCACCATGGAGACTTCATGATGCTCTGGGTTTCCACTTTATTGCAGATTAAACTCAAACCCCGGGGGTCTAGGGAAAAGGGCAGGCCCTTCCCCTCCCCTCTCACTCTAACTATCCTCCCCTCCCTCCGGATCCCCACACATTCACAGCAAGGGTGGATGGGAGGGAACGGGAACCCCATGGGAGGATGTGATCCCCAGCTCTGGTGAGGCCCAAACCGCTTCCCTAGGAGACAAATAAACATGGATCCCTGGGTCAGGCCCGAGGCTGGGCCCCAGAGGCAGCAGGTACAGCACTGTGGTTCTGCAGTCTTTGGTCTTAGAGGTCTGAGGCATGGGCAGGGAAGGGCTAGGAACTTGCAGAGCAAGCAGATTTTGAGGAAGAAAAAATTAGCAAAAAATTCAGCCCATTTGGGACTTTTTTGGCCCTTGTCATTGCAAAACCAAAAGAAGTCCTTTTAGATTTTTGTGTGTTAACGCTATGAAAGATAGGATAGATTTATTTTACATTTATAGATTTATGGGTCTATATACACTGTCACATATAGAAAAGCCCTAAGGCAGCCTATTGGTGAGGAGGGGAGGGAGGGCACCACTACTGCTTTTGAACCATTGTGCCCTTGAACCACTAGCTTGTGCACAGAGAGGGTGCTGTGCTGTGTGTCAAAACAAGTATGGTGCTCCCCAGTCACATCTGAAAAGAAGAGCTACTGTCAGGAGCGGGTCCAGGACACAGGGAAGGGCCAATTCTCCTTTTCCTCACCTCTCAATTCCCGAGGCCCAGGTTTCTTCCCTTCAAGCAAGAACCCCCATCTTTTTTTCTAGGGCCAAAACTTGGGCTGTGTCCAGAAGAGTAAAGGGTGAGCTACTCCTCACCAACTCTGCAAATGACAGGAGTAACTTAGGGTGCCCCAGACCCTAACACCTCCTGCTCACGTGCCCAGGCCCCTCTGGAGCCAGTCCCTTCCTCCGCAGTCCACAAGGCAGGGCTAGTGCTCTGCTAGCAAAGGAAGCACGGGGAAGGCAGGTGGGCGGCCTCAAGACCTGAGGAGTCCATAGCTAGCTACTAAGTTAGCTTGGGGGCAGCACGGTCAGGCCCAGCTTGGCCTTTGGAGTGCCCAGGGCCCCAGGCTGGCTGGGCAGAGAGAAGGAGGCCACCTTTAGGTGAGCTGCGACCCCAGGAGCCCCTCCCCCCACCCACTCTCTAAGAACTCCACGGCCAGCGCAAAGTCAAAGTCGTGCAGCGGGGGCCCATCCACTGCGATCTTCACCACGTGGCCGCCCCGGCCTTCCCCGGCCCCACTCTGCCCCCACCACCGCAGCTCCCGGCTGCGGCCGACCTTGTCCAGGAGGCCAGCGCCCGCGGGCAGCGCCAAAGCCAAGGCAGCGAGGGCAGCGAAGTCGGGAAAGAGCTCGTGCAGCTCCGAGTGCTCGCAGGCCAGCTGGGCACACAGGGCCCGCGGGCCGAGCCGCCCCAGGCTGAACACCACGCGCTTAAAGAGCGCGAAGTCGCCCAGTGCCCGCTGGCGCACCACGGCGGGCGCGAAGCCGCGCAGCAGCACCCGCAGCGCGCCCTCGCCGTGCGCGCCCAGCTCCTCCGGCGCCTGCGGGTAGCGGCGGGGGTCGAAGATCGCCGCGAACGAGGCCACGGCGTCCAGCGAGGGCCCTGGGTAGGAGTCCCGCAGCCCCTTCCGCATGGAGTCCAGGAGAGCCCCCCGGAGCTGCTCCAAGCCCCGGACCGCAGCCTCGGAGTAGCCGAGCAGCTCCACGCCGCGGTAGGTGCAGCGCCCGCTGCCCGCGTCAGGGTCTGAGGATGCCAGTTCCTGCAGGAAGCCCTGGAGACGGGCCCCACCTGAGCCGCGCTGAGCTTGTAGGGAGGCTGTAGCCGTCATCACCAGGGGCTGCAGCAAGGCCAAGTCCGGCTCTTCTGGCTGCAGGACAAGGGCCAGCTTCTGCACAGAGGGCAGAGCGTCCAGCAGCAGGTGTGTGAAGGCCACAAAGGTGAACTGGCGCAGGGCCAGGGCCAGTGCCCCAGCCGTAGGCGACGCTGGGGCTGCAGACTCCAGAGTGTGCACCAGGCAAGGCCAGGCTTCAGCCACAGCTTCTATGACAGGCAGCAGGGAGGCCCAGGGCACTGGCCGGGGCCCTGCCAAGTCAATAGCTGCAAGATCTAATGCTGCCCGGAGCTCAGGGACCATATGGGAACTGGGGCCACCGTGGAGGCGGAATAGGGCATCCAGTATGCTCTCATATTCACCCAGGTAGGGAGGGGGCTCTGGGTCTGTCCGACCAGGGAGGCAGTGCAGCTCCGTGAGGAGTGGGCAAGTGGCCCGCAGCTGGGGGCCTACACTCTTCAGGCGGCCACTGGGGAGGCTTGAGCTGAGCCAGGCCAGCTTAGGTGCAGATACGCCAAAGGCCTGCAGGATGTCCAGGAGTTGGCCAGCAGTGGCCTCACCCTCCTGTAGCTCCACACTGCCCAGGAAGGTGGTGGCAGGCTGGCCATCGCAGGGGGACACCGAAGTGGCAAACAGGGCCAGACTGTGGGACTCGGGCCAGTCCCTGGTCTCATCCAACACCAGCCCCACATAGGGGGAGGCCTTCAGGTGCTGGCAGGCCTCTGTGTGCAGGACGTTGGCAATGGCCACCTGGGATAGCCAGAGAGAGAAAGAGAGAGAGGACAGAGTTAGTTTGTCCTGAGGAGGGGAGGCAGTGCCAGATGGTGGAAAGAGCATGGGCCTTGGGGTCAGACAGACCTAGGGACCAATCCTGGCTTTGCCAGTTACTGGTGGTGCTACCTTGTGCCAGTCACTCCACCTCTCTGAACTTCAGTTTTCTCAGCTCTATTTTTTTTTCTTCTTTTCTTTTTTGAGTGAGGGTCTTGCTGTGTCACTCAGGGTGGAGTACAGTGGCATCATCATAGCTCATTGCAACCTCAAACTCCTGGGCTCAGGCAATCCTCCTGCCTCAGCCTCCTAAGCAGCTGGGACTACAAGAGCCTGCCAACACCTGGCGAACTGTTCGATTTTTTGTAGAGAAGAAGTCTCACTATGTTGCCTAGGCTGGTCTTGAACTCCTGGCTTTAAGCAATTCTCCCACCTCAACTTCCCAAAGTGCTGGGATTACAGGCATGAGCCACTGTACCCCAGTGTTCTCAGCTTTAATACCTGCTCTGAGCTAGCACCTGCCCTAAATCTTCTGAAAGGGTTGTTGTGAATTATAAATAGTAAAAGTGCTTTATGAACCATAAAGAGCTCTAGGAAGGCTAGTTTTTTCACTGTGTTCTCCTACATCATCGCCCCAGTCTGCCTTGTTCCTGGGGGTCTCCCTTCATCACCTTGCTTAGGGATTAACCAACAGCTCACTCCCAACTCCCGACCAGTTACACAAGGTCCCAGCTGTGTGCTCTGTTTGCCTATTTGTCATTTCTCTGTAGGATGAGATCCAATTCCCTGCACCCAGCCCCCCAGGACATACCCAGTTAGTACCTAGGACAGAGCTGCAACTTGCATGCCTCCAGGGGCCATGCAGGTGCTATTGAACTTGAAGTGGGCCAGGGATAAATCAGAGAGAATGGGGAAGACCACCACAAGTCCATGCCCTCCTCTCCAGCTCCAGCACATCCTGCCCTAACAGCATGGAGCCCTCACTTTTCAATAGAGCCACAAATCCAGACTTTATATGTAATCTGATTTTTGTTTTTTAGAGATGAGGTGTACTATGTTGTGCAGGATGGTCTCAAACTCCTGGCCTCAAGTGATCCTCCCGCCTCAGTCTCCCTAAGTGCTAGGATTACAGGTGTGAGCTACCACACCTAGCTTCTCCTGACTTTTTAAAGTTGGAAACTAAAAACACTGTGAAAGCCGGGCGCGGTGGCTCACGCCTGTAATCCTAGCTCTCTGGGAGGCCAAGGCGGGCGGATTGCTCGAGGTCAGGAGTTCGAAACCAGCCTGAGCAAGAGCGAGACCCTGTCTCTACTATAAATAGAAAGAAATTAATTGGCCAACTAATATATATAGAAAAAAAAAATTAGCCGGGCATGGTGGCGCATGCCTGTAGTCCCAGCCACTTGGGAGGCTGAGGCAGAAGGAGCTCAGGAGTTTGAGGTTGCTGTGAGCTAGGCTGATGCCACGGCACTCATTCTAGCCTAGGCAACAAAGCGAGACTCTGTCTCAAAAAAAAAAAAAAAAACACTGTGAAAACCAATAAAACACATCTGTGGGCCAAGCGAGCCCCCAGGCCCCAGTTTGCAACCTCTGGCCTAGGTAGTAAGAAGTGCCCATGTGTCCCACAAGGACAGGGCCTGGTCTGGCCTCTTCACAGTTGTACCCCCAGCAGCTGGCCCAGCGCCAGGCACATAGTAGGCCCTCAGTGAAGGTTCTGAAGGGTGAAGGTATGAATGAAGTGCTGTGGCTGCTGCCTAGGGGCCTGAGATGCTGGGGCCGTTCCCACGTGGCTCTGTGTCTCCCTCCCCAAGCCTTCCTCCGTACCTCTGGCTGCCACCCACCTGCATGTCCCTCACCCTCCTGGGGCTGTAGTAATCGCCATGCTCTGTGCCCAGCAGCGCCTGGCACAGGTTGAACCTCTGCAGCTCGAGCAGGGCAGAGCAGCGGTCGTCGGGCACATCCTCCTTGGCCATGCAGTACACAGTCGTCAGCACAGCCACTTTGGCTGGGTCCACCTCCACCTTGACGCCCCTGGAGGTAGGCGTGGTAGCCAGGCCTGGGCAGGCCCCTCCTCCCTCAGCCTGGCCCTCCAAAGGGGGCTGGCCCTGGTTGACGGCCAGAGCCTGGCGGTGGGCTCCTGAGGTGACGTGGCGCAGCAGGGCATGACGCTGGAAGTTGTCGGTGCCCACCGTGAAGGCGTTCTCGGCCTTGCCGTGCTTGTTCCGCACCAGGGCCTGGCGGCACTCGAGGCAGAACATCAGCTTCCGCTCATAGTCAAAGTCCAGCCAGGTAAACTCCTGTTTCCAGTGCTCGTTGAAGTAACGCTTGCACTTTTTGTTGGAGTTGGAGGCCTCTCCCGCTGGTTTCTTCCCAGGGGGCACCATTCTTGCTCTTGGGGCAGGGAACCCCCAGCCCCCACCCAAATGCTCTTAGCCCCCTGCCTCCCCCCCACACACAGGCAGCTCCCTTGACGAGGGAGCGGGCGGGGAGGCAGGAGGCCGGCAGCCCGTCAGGCTAATGGGGACCATCTATCTAACTTAGCCTGGAAAGTTTATTCCTGCTCCGCCGGCGGGAGACTGGAGATGAAAGAGACAGGGAGAGGTGTTAGGGGTCCATCGTGAAGGGGGCGGTTTAGGTGGGGCAGTAGGGTTCATGCTGCCCACAGAGCCCTCCCCAGTGAGGGGCTATTGGAAGTGGACGGGGTCATGCAAAGGGCCCTGCAGTGTTATGCAAAGCAGGGAGGTGTGGGAACCCCACCTGCCTCGGAGGTCTCCTTCTACCCAGGACAAGGCATTGATTAGCTTTGAGTGCTGAAGCTTCTTAGAACTCAGCTGGAAAGACTCGTGCCATCTATGCAACCACGTTTTACAGCTGGGAAATTGAGTCTGGAGACAGATAGTGGTTCTCAGGGCTCATGAGCGATTGGTGGCTAAGCCAGGACTAAAATGTGACATCCTGACTCCCAGCCCAAAGGATGACTGGTCCTTCCAGCTGACGGTCGTCGATTTCATGGGAAGGAAGTCAGCACAAGGCTGAGCTCTGCAAGCCATGAGATTGAAGAACGGGATTTGCTTTCTCTACAGCGCCCTTCCCTACGCCCACAGGTGCACACTCATGCGTGCACACGCGTGACACTGGTAGTGTGCTTCTGGGAAGGGTAGCCCAGACCCGGGACTGCTCCAGGGGCTGGGCCCCAGATTAAGGGCACCTAGCTGGTTGCTTCTGCCTCCCTCACTCCACCATCTCCCCAGGCCAGGTTGAGCAGTTGAGGACCAGAAGGCCATCTCAGGCCATTGGCCAAAACCTGCCAACTCTACCTCTTAATTATCCCTCCACCCTGTCCCCTCCTCTCCATGCCTCCTGGTAACAGCAGTGGTACCATTTGGTACAAGTGTGAACTGAGTCAGGCCCCATGCTAGTACTTTACAATGACCATGAGGAGACCAAGGTGGGTGTTATTATTCTCATTTTGGAGAAGAGGGAACCGAGGCTCTGTGACTTTAACTTGCCCAAGGTTCCAAAAGCAGTAAATGGCTGAGGCAGAATGAGAGCCCACATCCTCCTGACCCCGGAGGCCACACTGAGCCCCTGGGCTCCACCACCTCTCTCCCTAGCTGCCCAGCCTTGGTCCAGTTCGGGCTCTCACTGTGTCTCTGCACGGCCACTTCCCTCACGTCCCCCAGCAGCCAGTGAGAGCAAGCTCACACACAGATCCATCTGTGTCACCCCTTTGCTTCCACCTCTTCAGCCATACCCCACTGCCGCAGTCTACACACTCACCATGCACCAAAAAGACCCCTCCTGGCCTCAGAACACATCCAGAGCTTCCTGCCACTCCTGTCTGCCTGACCAACCCCAAAGGCTCACCATTCCCTCCGTACACCACACTGTTGCTTTTGTCCCTGCCTTCATCCCCAGAGCCCGGAATTCCCCATCCCTCCTCTTCCCCTGGCTAATTCCCACTCATTCCTTGACAGCACCTCAGGCATCCCCTCTGCCACCCTGATCCCCCCAACCTGGGCTGGTACCTGTCCTCTAGTCCCACAGTTCCCTGCGCACGCATCATTGCAATTCAGTATAGTGAACGCAGACATCCTGTATGTATCTCTGCACTTGGTTCCTGGAAGGCCGAGACCACGTTTGTTCATTGTCACAGCTCTAAGTCCCTGTACTGGCTGGGCATTAAGATGCTTCTCAGTAAAAGTCAGTTGTTTAACAGAAGGAAAGGATTTATTTTGGCTACATGGAGAAATGTCCTGTTTCTGAGACTGTTGATTAGACGATTCTGAGCTCTGAGACAACAGTGACTCTGTCTTGTCCACTTGATGTGGATGCCCAGTGCCCTGTGTGGGACTGGCACATAGTGGGTAGGTAAAAAAAAAAAAAAACAAGGGTAGATGAGGAGAATTCCAGGGCCAGCTTGTTCAATATAAGGAAAGGCCCTTTGTCCTGCCAGATGCAGGCAAAACTCATTGGTACTCTTCCCCTGGACTCTGTGTGACACATGGTGCCACTCACCACACCCTCCTTGAAACACTTTTCTCTTGGCTTCCAAGACCCCACATCCCTTGGTTTCCCGTCCCTCTGTCAGCCACTCCCCGGCCTCTGGAGGTCTTCTCCTCCTCCTCTTCTCAACCACAAACTGTCCCCAAATTTTCAAACCATCTCTGCAGACCACTCTGAAATACACAACCCCAGCCTGGGCGCCACATGGCCCCATGCGGCTGCCTTCTGGCCTGTCTAGCTGGAACTCCAGACAGGATGGAACTCTAGATGGACAATATGCTCCTCTCCCAGTCATCCTCATCTCCAGAAATGAGACCCATCCTCCTTCCCAGTGGCTCTGGCCAGAAACCCACCCTTCTGACCTCTGCTCTCGCCACGTTCACCACCTGGTCCATCCACAGGACCTGTTGATTCCACTCCACAACACACTTCTAACTCGTCCCTTCTCTCCACACTGCTGCCTGGTGGCTTTGTCCAGGCCACCTTTATCTTTTGCCTGGACTTATGCAGTTGCTTCCAAATGGCACCCTGGGTTTCCAATCTTGCCCACCTTTGAGCAAGAGTAGGCTTTTCAAAAACACTGCTTAAAATCCCTCCACCACCCCTTCCTCTAAGGCCAGTGCCAGAACCCCTTTGAGGCCCACCAAGTGCCAGGGTTGCTGACTTCTCTGGTGGCCACTCATGTCTCCCTCCCCCTCTAGCAATGCTAGCCTTCTCACAGTTCCTCCAGAGTGCCAGGTTCCCATCCCTAGGGCCCTTGCATGTGCTGTCCTTCTTCTAGAATGTCCCCAACTGCCCTCCCAGTGCTTTACTTGGCCTATCCCATTTTCCTTCTGGCCTTAGCTTAATTATCCCTTCCTCACAGGAGGCTTCCCTGATCGTCCTTTGCCAGGAAGTCTCCTTCTTTTCTGCCACTGCCCCAGTCTGTTCCCTCCATTGCAAGCCCCACAGCTTACGAATCTCTGCTTATGTCTGTTAGTTCTGCTGCTTCATCCCCTCTCTGCCTCACCCCCCATGCAAATTCCCTGAGGGCGGGAAAGGTAACTAACTTCTTCATGTCTGGACTCCAGAGAGGGAACAGTACCAGACACCCAGCAGGTGCTCCACAAAGCTGGGGCAGTGAGTGACTAAGGGAAAGCAAGGGAGCACCTGTTGGGTGGTTAAACAGCTGCTGTTGGCGTCCTTTCCTCCCAAGATCCTGTGATCCTATGACCTGGTTCAGCCCACTATCCAAAGGGTCTTAGAATGGGCAGGGGCACAGGACCAAGGTGATACCTTTCTGGAAGTTTGTCAGTTCCCTTCCATTTACCTAGAAGCTGGCTACCCTGCCCCATTCTGCAGAACAAAAGAGTAGGTAGGCAGAACACTGGACGGTGGAGATTCTAAACGAGCACTGTCCAAGGCAGCCGCCACTAGCCACAGGTGGCTGTTTAAATTAATTCGGATTAAATAAGAATTTTAAAATTCAACTCACACTAGCGACTTTTCAAGTCCTCAATAGCCACCTGTGGCTAGCGGCTATTGTGTTGGACAGTGCAGACAGAGTCCATTTCATCCCAGAAAGTTCTATTGGACAGAGCTGCTCTAAAACAGGTCAGAGTCCATGACACTCCCCCTACCTCAACCTGAAGGAACCCAGCGTGGTGGGGTGAGGTGTGGCTAAAACATGACTAGGTAGGTTCAGTTGTGACCCAGGCTGACCAGGAAGGCACACTTGTCTCAGACCAGGTGGCTCGGGTCTGTCACACCCTGGCCAACTAGATGGGAGTCTGGCACAACTTGAGGGCCCCTGGGTCGTTGTGTGTTGGTCTGTCCCCCCCTCCTCCCTTCCGCCTCGGCAGCTGAGTCTAGAACACTATTGATGTGGCCCCAGTACGCGGGTCCACAACCTTCTCCCCAGGCTCCTTTGGGCCCCTTCCTTGGGGACCCCACTAACAGGAGTCCATGCTCTGGGCGGAGTAGGCGCCCTATCCTCTGGTCGCCCGGGTGAGATGGGGCTCCCCTGTGCCCCCTCACCCATCGTCCCAGGGGCTGGGATGGGGAGGGCTGGGGAACTTCCTCTGGGGGGCGTGTGGGGACGGAGCCCTCGGCTGGCTCCGGCAGACGCACGCGGCCTCCGCCCGCCCGGCCCGCCCGCTCCGGGAGGGGGCGCCCCGCCCGGCCCGCGCGCCCGCCCCGCCCGCACACTCACGGAGACGCGGGAGCCACCATCTTGGCCGGTGGACGCTCTGGCCGCGGTCTCCTTGGGCTCCACTGAGCGACAGCAGCCACTAGTGGTAACGGGGGCGAAGAGGCGCCGGCAGCCCGCGCGGGCCGGGGTCGCGGGCAGGGCAGGCGGCGCCCCGGGCTCACCTGGCCGCGCCCACCTGCCGCGACTCCCGCCTGCCCCGCCCTCAGCCTCCGCCACGGCACGCTGCAGCAGGAGCGACTCAGGCTAGACCGCAGGAGTTCATTCGGTGCTCACATTCACCCGCGGTTCCTAGAGGCGCTCACAGTCGTGAGAGACAGACGGGGTGGCGGCTACAGGCGGCCAAGTGCTCTGAGACTTAGGAAGCAGGTGATTTGGGGTCACCCAGGAGGGGGAGGCAAGCTAACCTTGTGCAGGGCGAGTCAGTTAAGTTTCACAGCAGGATAAGTGACATTTTACCAAGGGCAGGGCATTCCAGGTGGTGGGATGGCAAAGCAAAGATCCATTGGGAAGTTGAAAGTGCACTGTGGGTTCAAAAAGGTCCAGGTGGAGCTGAAGCGGGCAGTGCCAGGTGCTGGAAGGCTCTGCAGGGATGCTGGGAGCTTTGACCTTCCCGCCTAGTGGAGAGCCTCCCGAGGAGTTCAAGTCCAGCGTTTTAGTCTAATGAGTTATTTGTAATGGGGATGACAGAAATGGGGAAAAGAGGGAGGGAGGGCGGGAGGGAGGCTGGAGAGACCTCTTGCTAGAACTCTCATCTCAGGGGCACAGGCAATCCTTGCCCCGGTCTGGGTTCCCCACAGAGATGAAGAGAAGGGGTGGGTTCCCTGCAGGAGGCATGTGGGGTGTAAGCACCTGGACCCTCCTAGACCTGAGGGCTTGGAG